CCGCGGCGCCGCCGCCGGTCAAGGCGTCGCCGCCGCCGCCCGCGAAGAAGGTCGTCCACGTCGTGAGCCGCCACTCGAGCGCCATCCCGCGCAAGGTCGTCGACGAGTCCGACGCGGCCATCGTGCCCATGGCCCTGAGGCCCCTCGGCGGCCTCTTCTCGTCCGGCGGCGCCGCGGCGCGCGCGCCCGCGCGGAACTGCTCCTTCGCGGCCTGCCACACGTCGTCGGCGTCGTCGGCGGCGGACCCGACGGTCTTCGAGCGCGTGCCCACCGTCGCGCCCAAGGAGGTGCGCTCCGCGAGCCGCAAGGAGGTGAAAGCGACCGGCGCGGACGCCGCGAAGCCCATCGGCGACGAGTGGCTCCCCGAGCGGCTCCGGACCAAGCCGGAGAAACCGGCGAACAAGGCGGCGCGCAAGGCCGCCGCCGCCGCGACGCTGCGGGAGGCGGCCGCCGAGCGGCCGCGGTCGCGCGCGGAGCGCAAGGAGCGGCAGAAGGCCCTGGACGAGGCCGCGCGGCGCGAGGCGCGCGCCATCGCGAAGAAGGCGCCCAAGCCCCGCCGGGAGGCGCCGCCCGCGCCGCCGCCGCGGCCCGCGACCTGGGCCGAGTTCGCGTTCCCCGCGGAGGGCGACGTGCTGGAGTTCTGCGAGCTCTGCGTCTGGCTCTTCGAGTGCTTCGTCTGCATGGCCGGCTTCGCGAACCTCCAGACCTTCGCCATCTACCCGCTCTACAGCACGGCCTTCGCGACGGCGCTCATCAAGGGCGTCGAGTGCTTCGTCATCGGCAAGTTCGCGCCGCCGCCGCCGGCGCCGGGCGCCGCGGACGAACGCGACGCGTCGCCGCCGCCGCGGCGCCGGACGCTGTCCTCGGGGTCCCACGGCTCGCCGAAGCGGAACCGCAAGGGCAGCCGCTGACCCACACCACCTATGCTGATCACCCTTGTCTGGATCCACCGCCACTCCACACGCCGCGTCGCTCCGATCGACCGAAGCCCCGACACCGCTGGGGGGCTCTTCTTTTAAATCTCAGAAACAGACTTCGGAAGAAGAAGCGCGCGCGAGGACCCCGCCGGGGGACACACGTGTCGTCTTTTTGCTTGGCTTACCGAGCGCGCGCCGACGCGCGGCGGCGGCCTGCGGGGGCGAGCCCCCCGGGGACCGGCGCCGCGCGAACCCGCGGGGGGGATCAGCTCTTCTTGTTGTTCGGCAGGCCCGCCTCCATCTGCGCGCGGATCGCGGCCATGTAGTCCTGGACGGCGCCCGCGACCTCGCTCGTCGGCTTCACGTACTCCTTGGGCGCCTCGATCGCCTCGGTCATGAGCGCGATGTGCTCGCTGTACTCCTTGTCGGGCTCCGGGGCCGACTCGTCGCTCACGCTCCGGCTCACGGCCGCCGGGGACGCCTTCGGGGAGCACGAGCCCACGCTGCGCTTCGGACCGTCCGGCGACGCTGCGCTTGCCACGGAGCCCGTGGCGACGGTGACGACGCGGGCGCCGGTGGCCGTCGCCTCCTTCGTGCTCGTCGCCTGGCCGCTCGAGGCGTCCATCGGAACAGGGGTGTCCGGCGGACCAGAAGCTCACGCGAGCAGCGCGGCGGCGGCGGCGAGGGCGGCGACGAGGCTCCCGGCTTTGAGCGCGACGGCCGCGTCGAGGTCGCTCTCGTCCTCAACCGTCGACTCGGGCTCGGAGAGGTCCGAGACCGCGACGGCCGCGAAGGTCGACGACACGCGCCACGCGCCGTTCCGCCGGGCAGCGTAATATGTGCACCATGCCGGAAACCAAAGTTGTTGAGGACAGCATGGCGAGGGTGGTTTTGTGACGAGCCCCGTCGACGCCTGCGCTCGTCAGCGCGCGCGCAGCTCCGCGGGTCGGAGGTCGTCGCACGCTTGCGCCGCTTCGCTGGCTCCCGCGCCGCTGCTGGGTCCTGCAGCAGCACAAACCGCGAGCTCGGGGTGCGATTCGCGCTCGTCGTCCATCGTGTCCAGGCTGAGCTGCGAGTCGCGAGCCCTGGACGACTTCATCGACGACGGGTCCGGCGCGCCCGACGTCATCCAGGGAACGAGCGGCAGCGACGAGATGGCGGACGCCGACGACGCCGGCGCGCGCGCCGGCGAACCGGAGCCGGAGCCGGAGAAGGGCTTCGACCCCGTGGGCGACACGAAGGAGCTCCCGGAGGACCCCGTCGAGAAGATGCAGGATTGTTTCCAGAAGCCGCTGACGATGTCGCGCGACCTGCTCGACCTCGTCTTCGCGGCGCTCCAGCCCGAGCCCGCCGACGATCCCGTCGGCGCCCGACGCGCGGCCGTACGTCGAGCCGCGGCCCCAGCGCTTCGAGCCCGCCGCGGCACCGCGAGCCCGCCGCTGCGGCTGCGGCGTTGGATCAGACTGCGCTCAACGCGGCCGCGCGCCGCGTCGCGCCGCCGGCCCCGGCCGAAGACCGCGGGACCAAGGTCTCCGCGCCCGCGGCGCTTTACGGCGGCGGCGAGAAGTGCCTCGAGCCCGAGCCGCGCGACGACGACGACGGCGGCGGCGCGTCCGACGGGCTTCGCCTCGCGGACGACAGCGAGCCCCCCGCGCGCCCCGCGGTCCCGTTGGACGGGACGCGCGACCGCCGGTTCCGAGCGGGTCGTCGTCGTCCAGGACGTCGTCGCCGTGGCCCACGGGCAGGAGATCACGTCGTCGAGGCGCCCTGGCGTCGCGGGCCGTCGCCCTGGCGATCCGTGCGCGCTTCGCGAAGCGCGATACCCGGCGCCTGCGGCGGGCGCCCGCGCGCCGCGGAACGGGCCCGGCCCGGCCCGGCGCCAGCCCTGCACGGCTCCGCACCGGCGCGCGCGCCAGTGCCGCGGCACCGCCGATGGGGGCCGCGCGGACTTAACTAGAAACCGCGCGTTTCTAGTTGGACGCGGCGGCGAAGTCGTCGTCGAGGAAGTCGAGGTCGTCGTCGAGGAGCTCCGTGGGCTGCGGCACGGCCTCCAGGGGCTCCGGCGGGTTCGCGTTGGGGTCCTTCCAGAAGAACTGGACGCGCGACTTGATGTCCGCGAGCGTCCGGCCCCTCTGCCAGTGCCAGGTCCTCGTGGCCTTCTCGTCGGCCTTGACCGTCTCGCACCAGCGCCGCGCGCACGCGTCCGACGAGATGGGCGCGATGCCGACGACCTTCGACTTGTACATGCGCATCATCTTCGTGCCGCGCTTGTCGTGCATGGGGTGCTTTTTGTGCCAGAACGGCAGCTCGCGGAAGAGGCCCTGGATGCTCTCCTCGAAGGTCGACCCCGCGTGCTCCGCCGGCGCCTTGGGCATGGCCCGCACGCGGCTCCGGTAGAGGGCGTCGACCAACTCCTGGAGCGGCCGGCGCAGCGACTTGACGCACTTGGCCATGCCCTCGACCTGGACGCTCTCGCGCTCCTCGGCCGGCGCCTTGGCCGCGTGGTTGAAGAGCAGGTAGGACTTGACGTCCGCGACGACGAGGTCCGCGTTGATGAGGTCCGACGGGTAGTCCTCGGCGTAGCGCACCTCGCCGGTGCCGACGTCGACGCCCCGGATCGTCACGAGGTACTCGCCGACGGCGTTGCGCGTGACCTTGAAGTGGCTCGACTCGTAGCGCATGAGCGACGAGGTGATGTCCATCGTGCCCGAGAGGACGCCGGACGCCTCGCAGTTGACCTCGGAGTACGCCGGCGCCGTGAGCGCGGAGAAGATGACGTCGGCGAAGTCGTGGATGACGACGCCCTTGAAGGGCAGGCCGAAGCTCTGCAGCCCCGCGGCGACGAGGCCGAGGATGCGGACGCCGCGCGGCGTCGCCATGTCGAGGTCCGCGACGTCGCACGGCAGGAAGAAGATCACGCCGATCAGCTGCGGGCCGCCGCGCGCGCGCGCGCCGAGCGGGAAGATGATGAGGTACTTGTAGTCCTGCGTCGTGGCGGTCGTCGCCTCCTCGTGGAGCACGTAGATCTGCAGGCAGTGCGCGACGAACTCGCGCGCGCACAGGAGCGCGGACCGGCCGGCGAGCTGCGCGATCTCGGCGTCGCCGTCGTTGACGAACTCGCAGCTCTTCAGGCGGTTCTTGCAATTGAACACCTTGACGTACTTGGGCGTGAGCGCGAGGCAGAGGTGGTAGCCGAGCGAGGTCTGGTACTCGGTGAGCTTGTCGGGGTCGAACTCCTCGGCCGCGATGCCCGCGACGCCGTGCCGCGCGGCCCGCGCGCGGTCCATGAGGTAGAGGAAGAAGAGCCGGCGGCCGAAGCCGTGCCAGCCGATCCACGAGCGGCCGAGCGCGAGGAGGCCCAGACGCGTGTCCTTCTCGATCTTCGCCCAGCCGTCCTCGGACAGCGAGAGCAAGGCGGTGTGCTTGAGCGTGATGAGCTCGTGGCACGCGACGGAGCCGAGGCAGTGCGTGGACGCGACGCTGCAGAGCAGCTCGAGCGGGTAGCGAAGCTCGCAGTTCTTCTCGCGCAGCGTGAACGTCTGCGGCGCGGGGAGCGCCTTCATGGGCACGCCGCAGCCGCGAACCATCGTAATTATAAAGGCCACACGAATGTTTGTTGAACCGGGCCGAAATAAATAAGACATAACTAGGCATTACTTCACTGCCAATGCCATCCCGAGCTCGCCGGCGCATCACGCTGTGTCCCACGCGGGCCCGGCGATGCCCGGCGAACGCGCGACGCGGGCCGCCGGACCCGATGCTGCGTGAGCGGTGTGCGCGCCGCGGCCGCGCGCCGCCGCGTCGCGGTGGCTGGCGCTGGGCTTTTGGGCCGTGCGCGCAGGGGCCTTCCGCGTGTTGCTCGCACGCCGAGGCGCGCCTCCGCGCGTCGCGCGCGCCGAGGTCGCGGGATCGTCCGAGTCGTGCGTGCTGTCGGGCGACGCGCCGGCGACGCGTCGCCGTCCGGACCTCGTAGCCGAGCTCGCCGCCGATGTACGACAAGCCGAGGGTCGCGCCCGACTCCATCATCTAGCTGTCGAGGAGCAGCACGCGCTGCGCCTGGAAGTCCGCCGCGCGCGTCACCGGCGCGCCGCGCCGCCGCTCCGCTGCCGCGAGCGTCGCGTAGTCCCCGTCCGCGGGCGTCGGGTCGTCGACGCCCCGGGTCTCGGGCTCCCGCGACACGGCCGTGTGGTACGCCCAGGCGTCGTCCAAGTCGTCGTCGAGACCGGTCCGCGGCGAACTCCGGGCGGGCTCCGTCCTCGTTCGAAGGGCCGCGGGATCTGCGCGACCGGTCGGCGATGGGCTCGGGGTCGACGGAGGCGCCGTAGGCCACGACCTCCCGGTCGAGGTCCTCGACGCCAATGGCGCCGGGCTTCGTCGCGTCCGCGTCGTTCGCGGCCCGGGATCCGTCGCCGCCAGACGTGCTCGACGTCGACGGAGGCGTAGTAGACGGTCGCCGACGCGTTCGGCCAGGGCGCCCAGGCCACGCAGTCCACGCCTTTGCACGAGCCCTCGCACAACTCGGGCCGACGGACGCAGACCGTCGCGCCCATCTCCTGGCGCGGCGCGTGTCGAGGCCGTCGAACGCGTGGCGCAGCCGTAGCGCTCCAGCGTCACCGGAGCTCCGAGGCCGACCCGCGCGGAGTCGAGGCAGACCGTGCGGTAGGGCAGCCAGACGCCGTCGCCGCCCCAGACGCAGACCTTCTCCGAGGAGCCGAGCCGCTCGTTCGTTTGTTGCCGGCCGGCCGCGACGCCCGCGCCGGACTCGTGGCAGGCGCCGGACTGGGCCGCCGTGTGTGTGTAGCCGCCGACGACGCACTCAGCAAAACCCGTCTTGGACGCGACGGCCACGCAGCGGGACGCGTCGCGGCTCGACGGTCGCGAACCCGACGAGCGCCGCCCGCGGCGACGCCGTCACCGTCGAGACGGGCTGCGTCCAGACGCCGCGCACCGTCGCGTCGTTCACGAGGAGTACGATCGCGAGCGACTGCTCGTCGAGCCGCGGCGGTGCCAGCCGCGCTGCACTCGAGCACGAGGTTTTCAGAGCTAGCGCCAGGCAGCCCGCCGGGCTCCGGCCGAGCACGTCCGCGCAGCGCGACGTCGCAGCTCGCGCACACCGAGGTGCCGCGGCCGACCTCGCGGCTGTTGCAAGCGCACGCGATGTCGCCGAGGGTCTCCGACGAGGTCTCGCCGAGCTCTTTCGGAGCTGCCCATGCCGATTGCGTTCAACAATGGGTTCAAGGAGACCGAAAATCGGGCATCGTCTCAACACGATGGGCAGCGGTTGCCAGCACATCCCGCGCCACGGCGATGTGGCCGCGATGTGCGCCCTCTGTCGTCTGCCCCAGGCGAACTCCGTGGCCCGCTGCGGCGCGCGGCGGCCCCTGCCCCGGGGTCGCCGACGCCGCGGCTCACTGTGGAGAAACTGTCCTAGGCAGCGCTCCGCCGGCGGTGCGTCGACGTGGAAGACGACGAGCCTTTATGCGATCCGCTCGAAGAACCTAACGCGCCCGGGCCCGCGAGACCGCCCCGTCGGCCCCGAGGGCGGCGAAATCCCCGGACCGTCGATCGCGGGAGCGGGCGCCGCGCCGCGCGCTCGCGCCGACGGACGCGATCACGACGCCATTCCTGGATGACTGCGACGCGGCGAACGGCGCGGCACGGGCGGCCAGAGGCGCCGGCCGCGGCTGGGCGACGTGCGACGCGGCGGACGCTGCGGTACGGCGCACGGCGGCGCGAATGGCTGGCGGCCGAGCGAGCCGATGGGCCGCTTTGCGGCGTGCTGGGCCCGCTGCCGGGTCCGGATTGAATCAGCCTTGATCTGCGCCTTTGACCGAGCCGTGACCTGGGTTCCTCGGCAGCGGCGTCCTGCGACCGGCGCGTGCGCGGCGTCTCCGACTTTTTGATGCACGAGAGAGACGCCAGGCATGCCTCGTGCCACTGGCTGGGGAGGCATCGGGTTTTTGGACCGCGAGCGCGTCGCGGCGGCACGAAATCGTCATATCGTAGGTACATTGCGCGATCGAGGCGAAGGAGGACGCGACCTACGACACCAGCTCGCCGCACGCGACGTTGCCGAAGGTCTAGATCATCCTCGGGCGCCAGGCGCCACACCTCGGGCCCATGGCCGAGACGACCGCGGCGCCGACCGGCGGCGCCGACAACGATCTGGTGCCCGTGCGCGACCAGGTCCTGCGCTTCCTCGCCGACTGCGAGGGCGAGGACTTCCGCGGCATCCCGCTGGAACTCCTCGCGCAGCTGCTCCGCGTCGACGAGGACCACGCGCGCGCGGCCGTCGAGGACCTCGTGACCGAGGGCCGGCTCAGCACGTACGACGACGTCAGCACGTACGACGACGTCGCGCGCACGTTCGTGGTCGCCGCGACGGACGACGCGCAGCCGCCGGACTGCCCCGTCGCGCACGTCGCGAAGCAGCCGCGCGCCGCGAAATTTCTGGACGCCCTCCGCGTCGTTTCGTCGACGAGCGCGTCGCGCCTCGACCCGAGGTTCAACTTCCAGCACCTGCCGCTCTCGACCGTGCGGAACCTCTGCATCGTCAGCAAGGGCTTCTGGGAGATCGCCGTGGTCGGCATGAAGGAGATGGAGAGCGCGTACGACGAGCCGTTCCGCGTCCTCGTCGCCTGGGACGACGACGAGGACGAGTTCGCCGGCGGTCTGCCAATCCTTCCCGAGCAGCTGCCCAACACCATCGCGGTGCGCAGCACGCTGGACGCGAACGGCGTCGCCGCGGTCGCGGCGCCGCTGCCCGTCTTCGACGAGGAGATCGGCACCGCGCGCATCGGCGCGGCCGTCGACGAAGTTTCCTCCAGGCCGTGGGCGAGCATCGTCAAGACGATGACGACGACGCGCGAGGCCAAGCGCGTCTACAAGGAGGGCTGGCGCGACGTCGAGAACGACGAGCGCTGGACGGTGGTGAAGGTCGTCGAGGAGTTCCCGGCGGTGTTTCCATACCCCTGCGCGGTGCGTGATCGGGTCCGACGAAACGGCCTGCGGGCCATGACCGTGCGCAAGCCGCCGACTGTCGAAGGCGGTGCGCTCTTCCTCGCGCGGGGCCATGACGTTCTGACTTTCCTGCCGGCCGACGTCCGCGACCTCGCGAAGAAGCTGGCGGCGACGCCGGAGATCGAGCAGAGCAGCGAGTACTACGGGGTCTGCCGGATCTTCGGCGGCAGGTTTCAGATGAATATCCGGCTTGACGACGGGCGACACTCCAAAGTCTACTACGACGAGGTCGAGGCGGCGCGCGCATACGACGTGCTCGCGCGACCGCTCGGCAAAGACCTCAATTTTCCCGACGACTACGACGCGCCCGACGACTACGACTCGTCGTCCGCGCTCGCCGCCGCGGCGCCGCGGTCCGCCGCGGCCGCCGCGCCGCCGCCGCCCGTCGTCCACCCGCACGGCCCGCCCACGCTCCGCAAGGTCTACCTCGTCAAGGGCGCGCAGCACGAGTGGGCCCCCATCGACGGCGTCGCCCCGCCCCAGGACGACGACGCCCGCGCGGCCGTCCTCGCGCTCCGCGCGGAGCCGGCCGCCGCCGCGCCCGCGCCCGCGCCGCCCGTCGCGCCCGCGCTCACGGCCGCGCCGCCGACGCCCGCCGTGGCCGCCGCGCCGGTCGCCGCCGCGGCCGCGCCCGCGCCGCCCGCCGCGGCCGCCGCGCCGAAGCCCAAGGCCGCGCCGAAGGCGAAGAAGCCCAAGACCGCGCCGAAGCCCAAGGCCACCGCCGAGCGCGCCGCCGCCGTGAAGAAGAAGGATGACATCGCCGCGACGAGAATCGCGCTGGAGAACGCGACGGAGCTGTGGAAGAACGGCCGCTTCCAGGAGGGCAGCATGGCCCGCGCCGAGGCCGTCGAGGCCCTCAAGGAAAAGCTCCGCGCGTTGCGCAAGCGCAAGGTCGTCGCCGCCGCGCCGCCGACGCCCGCCGCGCCGGCCGCGCCGGTCGCCGCCGCGCCCGCGCCCGCGCCGCCCGCCGCGCCCGCGCTCACGGCCGCGCCGCCGACGCCCGCCGTGGCCGCCGCGCCGGACGCCGCGCCCGCGCCCGCGCCGCCCGCCGCGGCCGCCGCGGCCGCGCCCGTCATCGCCGCGGCCGCGCCGTCGCCGCCGCTCGCCGCGCCGACGCCGCCCGCGCGGAAGAAGGCGAAGAAGGCCAAGGCCGCGCCCTCGGCCGCGCAGATCGCCGTCGGCGAGGCGCGCGCGGCGGCTTTGGCGGAGGCGCCCGCGCACCCGGCGGCGCTCGCGGCGCCGCGGCCCGCGGACCGCGAGGCGCGAGCCGCCGCGGCTTTGGCACGGCGGCACCACGCCGAGAACACCTACGGCCTCAAGCGGCTGGGGAAGAGGTGGGACCACGGCAACGGCTTCTTCGCGCTCAAGGACGGCGACTACGAGTTCTTCAAGGACAGCGACGCGTTCGGCGCCGATTCCGACGTCGAT